AAATCTCTTTTTGAAATTAATTTCCAGATAATAATTAAGATAACTTCCTCGGGATGGTCTTCGACAAGGAGCATAAATCCTACCAAATGAGCCCATAATTATTGGAAGATTAACTATAATGCTATATATGCAAAAGCATCATCTCTTCAGTATTGTATAATCTATCTTACCAAATATGTCAATTTTATTATAGTTGTCAATGGAATTGATGGAAAGCATGAAGAACAAGAGCAAATTCTCCAACAATATCAATCGAAAGCAGAGTATTAAGTCTGTGCTTGCCTGAACAAAAACAATTTGTATAACATGCATCACACCCCAAGTGGCCTCTTGTACACTCGCACCCCAAAATGGAACAACATGCAGTACGTTTCCAATACAACATTTTTAATCACAAAATCATGCTACAATAATATAATAATTGACATAATCCTTGGCATAATGTCACATGACATCTTATCATCTTTTGCCAACACTTATTATGTCAAAGCATCAGTCAACATTTTTCTGTCAAAGTGGCATGACCCTTTAATCACAGTCTACTCTGATTATCTCCAAACAACCAATCAAATGCTCAACTGCCAAGGAGATTTAGTGGGTTCTAGTGAGATCCTGTCCTTCGTAAAATCACAAACTGCCTACATTTTGGGCTCTAATCCTATGGGAACGAGTTATTTGGTGGGTTATGGACCTACCTATCCTAAGAGAGTGCACCATAGGGGTTCATCCATAGAATCATACAGAGATAGCAATGGATTTGCGGGGTGCACACACGGATATGATAACTGGTATGGACGGCAAGATCCTAACCTGAATGCGTTTGTTGGGGCACTGGTTGGGGACCAGATGGCAGGATGAGTTCAGGGATAACAGGGGAAATTTCATGCAAAATACTGCCTCAATGGTTGGGTTTTTTGCCAAATTGTATGCCTTAGAAAAGGCTACTTCTGCAGGAGCTACTAGTTGCATTTCTTTACATTCAGAATTTCTTTCATCTGAATGTAAAGAAATGTTATTTTTTTGGTTGGGGAAGGGCAGGAAGGGGCGGACCAAACAGGGTGCTGTATTTCTCTGTGGAAGAGAAGTTTTCTTGCATTATTCTTGAACCTGAATTATTTTTGTACGAGCGAGGATATAAAAAGTCCAATTTGTAGGTTAACTAGAAATTCTGATTCATTATGCCAAAAAAAAAAAAAAAATCTACTTACCTGGAACGTAGTTATGCAAATGTGTGGAAGAATATGTCGAGTAAAAATTCAACCAAAAAACAAATTATTCAAAGCACATCCTCAACTCTCTTGTCCAAGCTAATATAATCAACAATATAATTCAAAAGGTGTATGAATTGGATCAGCTTTCGAAAGTACACTCCACTTTCCAACATAAACACGAGTAGATTAAAGAAGTAATAATACCTAGTTTACAAACATGATCTAGTTTGAAAACCTACAAGAAAAGAAACGAACATAGGAAAAAGAAAAAATGCTCCAAAACGAAGCCTTTTACTTGGAAATCTAGGATAATTATGCCTGACAATAATTAGGAGCTTCTCGGTTCGAATAACTCCACCTACTATACTGGACAAAAATTCAAAGAAGACCATTACAAACATAAGAACTATACTTGGATATCAAAGACTAAGTCTGACCATCCATCAAAATCTTCATTGAGATATTACAGAACAGTAATACAGACTCACGCATAAAATCTGCATAGATCAGAAATACAAAAGCACAAAAATTCTATTTAAAGGACTGTGCAGTTACAAACACTGTTAAAACCAAAATATTAATGATCCAGCTTATTGGACCCAACCTAATGTTCCATAAGACAAACTTCTACTACAAACTACACTTAGGCCCTGTTTGGTCCACATTTTTTCATTCTCATTCTTCTACTCATTTTCAACCCCACGTTTTTCAATAAAATAATATTTTCCATCACATCAATAATTTTTTCTTCTTTTTCAACCACATATTCCTCATCACATCAACAGTAAAAATGCATTCTTACCTTTAAAATGTGCACCAAACGGGGGCTTAATATAAACCTAGTATCAAGTAGCTGGGATGATTTCGAACTACAAGAATCTAAAGGCCATGAATTATGTATACCTTCTAGCTCTAGAAATTGTTAACGGGTATGCAATATTTCCAGCTCCAGCTCCAGAACTTCAACATCAGATTAAAGCTGAATGATAGAAGTTTAGAAGTGACAATGAGCACAAATTAAGCTGAAGGTAAGAGAGAGGTCTTTAAACTTATCTGGATGGAATAGAAACAGGATCCAAGTAACAAGCAAAGAGCTCAAACCCCCTTCTCATATGATTCGCGATGCATAGAAGTGGATAGACCTACTTACCATTTCTCTAGCAAAGAACACTTGAGAGGTTTTTGGGAAAATAATTCACATGGATGACAATTTTCCCTTCTACATGGCATAGTACTATTATTTTCCAATATGGAAAATGAGTGGAATGAAATTTCTGTGCAATGCATATAAATGCTACATCATCACTTCTTTCTGTAGTTAAGATTTCCATGAAACACAAAGAAACGGTACGTAAAACTCCGTCATTGCCTAGCAGTTAATTAGGATTTAGAGTGCAAAAAAATGGCTTCAACAATTGAAGTTCCTCAATCAAAATGCTTCACTTCTAATAAAACCAATATCTACCAAAATTTATAAGGGCGCTTTTATACGTTTATTTCGGTTCACGAGCATGAATAATTGTTGATAAATGTTTGGAATAGAGCTTAATTTGTGTAATTTGTGTTTGTAGGACAATAATGAAGACTGTGGTGTAAACTTGAGGGAAAATGGAGAAAATGGGCTAAAAATGAGGAAAACGAAAGTTCAGGGACCAAAATGCAAATAACCAAAAGATGACTCGAGGCCACCTCAAGAGCGGACATGAGCTTAATCATAAATTGAGGAATACATGGGATGATTGGAGGAAAAGAATTAACAAAAGAGGTCAATACAAGAGAAAAATGAAGTGGAGGACCAAAATGAAGAATTGTGAAAGTTAATTACACCATGCAGCCGCATGGTATAATTAACCATGTGGCCGCAAGCATAGTGGCAGGGGAAAAAAGAGCAAAAATTTTGTTCTATGCGGCCGCATAGTTCAATCTGGGCGCGAAAATTCTGTTTTCCTTATTTCGTTCAAACTTTTATGGAAACCAATATTTTGGAAACTATATAAACTCTTAAGCCGTCCTCAAACCCTAGGCAGACCTGGGAGGAGACTTTTGAAGCGTTTGAGAGAGAAATCAAGGCACAAACAAGGAGAATAACATCACGACGCGAAGAATCAATTCAAAAATCTAAATTGGTGATGTCGTTCTTTATTAAATTTTCTGATTTCTTTTCTATCATATTAGGCTACATTTATATGTGTTAGGTGAACGATGAACCTTATGATGTGATATTTTAATACCTAGTTTTACTTTGTTGACATTAAAAAGCGTTTTGAATCATTGAATGATTTATATACATTGCTTTTTCTCTACAATTATATGCGCAATAATTGTATGAATGTGGTGGCTTATTTTATGCATTCGAAAGAAGGAAAATAAGCTCGACAATGTATAAATCATCGTAGAGTCCGATAGGGGATAGAAATATACCGCTATACTCTACGTGAATCTCTAAGTGTTTACAAAACGTCATGCATTCTTGTATATTGCATTTGTCATAAAAATATAGTCAAATGGTATGCAAGAACATGTTCAATTCTACTCGAGAGAGATTATTGAATAGATTAGAAACATTGATTCTTCATCAATTCAAGCTTGTTGTCAATTTTGTAGAACTAGAATTAAAATTGATCGTTGCATGGGGATTCGTGAACCCATGAGTTACTTCAATTTGCATCCAATCATATAATTTGCATTTAGTTCAACTAATTCATCCACTATTGCTTTCATTTAGTTTAGCTACACTTTAGTTACAAAACTCAATCATATTTCACGTTTCGGTTAAGATCAGAATAGGTAAAATCGAACTAGCAAATCTCTGTGGGAACGATATTTGGACTCTAAAATCCATTTTATTACTTGAAAATTGGATTAAAATTGAAAAACTGGCCGTTATTGAAAAAATTTTATTAGATGAGTGGGAACCAATAACGGCAATATTTTCAATTTTAGTGCTTGGTAGGGATTTTTGGGAGAAGAATTGATTTTCGAATAGTGATATGATGGGAAATATGTAGTTGAAAAAGAAGAAAAAATTATTGATGTGAGGAAAAATATTATTTTATTGAAAAATGTGTGGTTGAAAATGAGAATTGATTTGAGAATCAATTCTCAAATAAAAAACAAACACCCCCTTAATTGGATTTTAATCTCTACCAAATGAGCTCTATGTGTGGATTGTCTAAAACCAATGAGATGAAAACGAGGTGAAAATTTCAAGTTAAGGTTTAGTTTTAGAAACTAGGTGTTTAAAAGAAAAGGGACATTGCACTAATCATTGAATAAACAAAGACATATGTTTGAGCCTGTATAACTCGAGTGATTAAACCTGTAAGGGTTTAAAACCTGGTGCGATCTGACTCGGGAGTCATCAGTCTAACGCTCGTTACAGGGGTTATACAGAAAGCAAATAAAAGATGCCAAACACCAAAAAAATAAAGGGAGAGAGAAGAAAAAAATTGGTTACACATACATATTCTCACGAATGAAATGCATTGATTAGCCCAGACACCCGATTGATAAGACACTTGGTTCTTTACCAAGATATAATACACAAGGAAGAATTGTGCCTAGGCTACAGGCAGTACCAACCCTTTCTCAGTAAAACGCAGAAATTCTAAATCACCTTGGACTTGTTAAGGAAACTCAAAATATATGAAATGCTCCCTTTTGAGGGCCACGTTAAGGATCACCATGACTCAGAATTACATGAATCTTTATAAAGTTTGTTACAGTATTATAACCAAAAGAACATTCATCGAAACAAAAATAAATTGCTCACAATTCAGGGAATAGCAGTTATGCAGAAGATTCTGGAGTAGGGATCGGTAGATGATTTACGACCAAGGGGGGGCGCAGAGCTCGATGACTCGCTTCTTTCTGTTTCCTTGCATTGTACATTTCCTCTGTCTCAACAACAACCAACCTTTTCACCTACAATTAAAACAACAAAACAAAAAAATCAGTCTAAAACAAAAGAATCAACCAAGGTTATTATTATTTTCTTTTTTTTTATCACAATTGGAACAAACTAGGTTAATCTGTATTTCACATAATGTAATTTGAGCACCTGCTGGACCATTCCCCTGACAGTAGGCGTATTCCATCGCATGACAGTCCGGTTACATTTCGTGAGTCGCAAAGCCTCTAACGTGCGCCGGTGGAGTCTCCTGGTACCCGGAATACCCCTGACTAGGGTTATGTAGAGGTTAGGACTCCACGCCACTGGAACATTAGCTTTAAAAGCGTTAAAAGCACTCATTTACGTCTTCTTCTTCTTAAGCTTCTTCCCTGTCGCGTAAGATCAGTAAATTTTCATCAAGAAATCAAATTTATAATACAAAATTAGCTAACGAAAATGGAAAACGGGAAACACGAGACTGAGAAAGATCAGACCTTGTGGACGAAGAACAGGCGAAGGGTTTTGCAATAGTTGGGGGACAGACGGTCGATCGACGTCGTCTGTTTCCTCTTAATTTGTGGGCTTAGGCCCATAAGTATTGTTTGGTACTGGGCCAATGTTTTTCAATGGGCTTCCTTACAGGTCCAGTCCTTCCCTCCTCTTCTTCATTTTCCAAGTGTTTTTAAATTCTTTTAAATTTTACAATATTAAAATAATAGTATTGAAATGTATAATTAAAAAGAATTATATTGCAAGGGGAATAGGGGATCATATAGCTATATAACTAGTGATGGCAATGGGCCGAGTCTCTACCCACGAGCTCGACTCGTGCTCAAGGTCCGAGCTCACGAGCCCACTAGAGCTCGAGTTTTTTTTTTTTAATTTTTTTGACTTTTTTGTTCACATTTTTTTACGAGGGCTTGTGAATTTTAGGCTCATGTGAGCTCAACAAGCCTAGCCTTTCTAGGCTCACCAAACGAACCACTGATCAACTCGGGCTCGTCTCGAAATGAGCTCAGGCTGTTCATGGATCGAGCTACTTGACCCTTTTGTCACCCCTATATATAAGTGTAACTTATAAGATTATAGTATAGACGAGCTGACTTGCAAGTGATTTAGAGACATAACACGATGAAGAAAATGACTAGAAATAGATTTACAAAACATTTTCAAATTACTGGTTAACCAAGAGCAAAATCATTCAACATTCAAAATCAAAACCATCATCGCATATACTACATTTAACTCGAATATCCACAACTCACCTCCTTTAGGAGGAAGTGGCTCCCAAATTTTGGAAACAAAAAGCACCTCTCTCACCAACCTAGAAGTAAAACCTTCAAAAGAGCCATTCGAATATAGAGACCATTTTTGGCTTGCCTAAAATAGGCAGCCCTTGGATCCGCGTCCACATCAGCTGTTATCTAAAAACAAGAAAGCACAAAACAATCAGGACATGAAGAAGTAATTGAAAAGAAAAGAATGCCAAGAAAATGTCGAGCACAACTCACAAACTAACCTCATCAAGCCTTGGTAGAGGATGCATCACCACAGCATGTTTCTGTATTACACTCAGGACATCACGATCCACAATGTACTTGCCTCTTGCTTCTTCATAAAGATCAACTCTCTCTCCAAATCGTTCTCGCTGAATACGGGTTTGATAAACCACATCGCATTTGGATGCCACTTCCATTAGATCAGCACTTTCTTCCCATTCAACTCCCTTAGATGTCAAATAATCTTTTATGTCATCCTGAAATTAAGAGTTGAAAAGTAGGCAAATACTACTCTTTCACATTCCTAAAATATTTCCTGAGTTCAATGAACCAAAAAGAGAGAGAATATGCAACTTGCATCCAATGCTTTGTCAGTTAAACAGAGTGAGTTTATTAAAATTGATTTATCCACGTGCTTCTGAACTGCAGAACAAGTTCACTCTCTTGCATACCTTCATTTTTACCGCATCCGGAGACACAAAGTAGATTTTAACATCCTCATACTTGGAAAGCAGATAGGCAAGTGAGCGGACTGTCCTTCCATAAGCAAGATCTCCAACAAGTCCAACTTTGATGCCATCAAGTTTTCCTATCTCTCTTTTAATAGTGTACACATCCAACAGAGCCTTTTACAATGTACAAACAAAGGTGAAATGAAATAGAATAAAATGAATAGTTCACTATGCACTCAAACTTACACAGCACGTGGAAATATAAATTACGTATACTGCAGCCAATTTGTAGGTACATCATTACGCGGCTAGTGCAAACTTTTTAAGAAGGTAGTATGGAATCATTTAGTTATTTAACCCCCATCTACGGCTCATTTCTTTCCTTATATGGCCTTTTTTGTTTTAATAGGTACTTCTTTGTGGTTGTGCTAAATTTCATTTTTGGGTCTCTTACAATTAGGCTAATAGTTTTAATCCCCAACCTAAAGTTGCAAAATAAAGAAAACCCTATGGCATCCCAATTTTTCTAATCATTTCCTGTTATCTAGCCTCTCAAATAAAGTGAATTTCCAGTTTAAGGACTTTAGTGTCACGTTTGAATCATGAAGAGTTCAAATAGAGAAGTAGTTGGCAGCAATAAAACCGATCTCCTCCCCTCACCTAAAAGAAACGAGGTGCTATATAAGAAAATAACTCCTCAAATCCACATTTTATCTTAAGATCTAAAGCTTGATAGACCACCTTGACAAAGGTCAACAAAGAAGTAAATATAAGATATTAAAAGTATAGATTCTAAATCAATGAGTAAAAATCAGGCTAACACGCTTCATGCCTTGTAAAAAGACTAAAGTTACTCAAACATTAAACGCAGAAAAAATACAAATAAAAGTTACACTCAACACAGTCATAGACAAACTTGTCAATCTAGCTACAAATGACATGTGAAAGAGAGGAAAATTGAAAAAAATAAAAAACCCCTTAAACAGAGTCTTCATTGGTGAAAATTTAAGTTTCCACCTTAATCTGAATTTCAATGAACTGCATCTATAGGAACCAAGTCACCAAACTATTCAATCAAGCTGCTGCATATGCTGCATTGAATTATGATTTTATAGATATTGTACGGAGAGTAACAGAAACCTCAGATTTGGTCTTGTACCACCCAGGCATCCACAACTCATACAATCTACAGATCTTCATAGGTGGGTGCTTCTTTTTAAAAGTGTATATGTATACATAAAAAGTTATATGTAGAGGAATCTAAAAAGAGTCATGAAATTTGTTTAAAGGATTTGGAAATAACAATAATCCTCAAAAAGAGGTTTAGACCTGAGTTGGATGCTGTCCAGGGCCATCTCCAGCATTAATAATGGGAATGCTGGCTGTTGCTGCTGCTCTTCTGGCAGCACCACTTTCAAAATGTCTCATTACAATTATATCGGAATACCCTTCTACTGTTCTTATAGTATCTGAAGATCAATACAAAATTAGAATATAAAAATTATTGTATACACTATTAAGTAAGCTAATGGAATGAGTGACCACCTTCAAGTGTCTCTCCTTTTGCTGCAGATGAAAACTCACGTGCATTTTCTGTGGTCAAAACTTCCCCACCTAAACGTTTCATGGCAGATTCAAATGAAAGCCTAGTTCTAGTTGATGGCTCATAAAAAAGTGTGGCCATTAGATAGCCCTTCAGTATTTGGCTTCCAGTTGAGTGTTTCTCAATCTTCTCCATCTCAAGGGCCACTTCAAATATAGCACCAAGAGTATCTCTGTCAAATTGTTGTGCCTCAATAACATCTTCAAGTTGAAACTTATTCCCCACTGAATATGAAGATGTAATGCCAACCTCCAGTGCGCTGCATTGGGCTCTGCTCTTGAGTGATATCCTTCCCCTTGCCAAGTCAACTCCTTTCCCATTAGGTGATATCATGTCATGAGATGCACATGAGGATATGGAAGAAATTGTTTGGTTAAAGCAACAGTTCAAACAATTGCAAACAAACTTGCTACAATGTTTTGTTGTCTTGGGGGCAAGCACACTGCCATTGAAGGTCCATAAAGAAAATGTGGATGACGAAGCCATCACAACAAATATAACTGCCTGATGGAGGCAAGATATTATATTTAGTAAGAAGAACAGTTCGATTGGAAAACAAAAATGAGAAATATTGAAAGCCAGTGAACTGTTTAAAAAATCCAAATACATATTGTTATCAAACAATACACCTTTTGCCATTAAAATTTTCCAAGTTATGCAAAATATTTAACCCTTAGTAAACATTCCACTACAAAAATCTGTACACGGGAAGGGAACTTCCTATTGGTGTCTAAGCATGTTATGTTTACCAATGGTATCACATCATGTTGTGACGCCAAATGCTATTCTAAAAGCAAGATAGTTGTAAAACAAACTGCGAAAAAATTCCACAAAAAGGGCCACTTTGCAGTTTTGAAAAAATCCACTCTGGCACTAGAAAGACCACAAAATGTTATGGAGTAACTGACTCTCTACTCATAGATAATAAAAAATCAGAATATATTATTTAAATTTTAAAATTCATACTTTATCATTAGGGTAGTACGTGTATAAAATATTTTTGGTGGAAAGGGAAAATTAAGTCTCAGACTTGGAACGAAAACTAATATTTTTTCTGTGCAACAGCTCCTGTGAGCCCAAGAAATATGGCTACAGAATAGAACAATACAAATCAGAAAGTCAAATGCACAAAACCATTGCTGCTTAAAAAACTAAACTCATGTAACGACCCCAAATTTATTGGGAACAAGGCTTAGTTTGTTCATTGTTGTTGTATCTACTACAACACTAGCCCATTTTGGTATAAAGTAATGCAAACGATACTTTAATTGAATGAAATCTCCAATCTTCTACCAAAGCAATTTCAAAGTCCTTTTCACTTTTTCTTTCTAATTTACTCAACCTCTGAAAACATTCCCACTCTACAGATAGCACTTCAAAATCAACAGCATGTATAATAAATATATTTATACATATATGCCATGTATTGCGTGTTTCTAGACACCACGAAGAAATGGCCTGGAACAAATGAAATAAAAAATTATAAATTGCTAAACATACATAGACACACACAAACATGAAGAGATTGAGAGGGAAAAAGTAAAAAAGGCTGACAAAATCTATGTACTAACCACTAAGAAGTGAACTTCATATCTAGTTTACATACGTATCCGGTTGCTATAGTGGTCAGTACGGTAATGAGACTTGGTTATAACTTTGATGTTGGAGCTTGAAATGAGCACAAGCTAAATAATCCTATGCTGTCACATATGACATTTGAAATTAATGTAATTGGGTTTGATTCATGTAGTTCATGACAGAATTCTTTAAGGACTTTTATCAAACACGTGAAGCGAATAAAAATGTCCAATATATCTACACACAGATGTAGGTTTGTGTAATGTACGTATGTATGTATGAACCTCACCTCGATTTCGATTCAGTGAAAAATTCTCTTTTCTCTCCAGGTTTCGGCAGGGTATAAAGAAAGAGTGGGGTCTGTAAGCAGTCTTCTATCCTCGTGTCGACCTCATATTGGATACTGAGAGAAATTAGAATCACTTTTTGGGGTAAACAACTTAATGGGATTTTTGAAGCATTCATTTTGCCTTCTTCTTTGTTATTAAACCATTTCTTAAAGCATCGAGGGTCCGTTTGATTGGAAAACTAAAAAATAAGTAGAAAGAAAATGAATTTCGAGGAATTGAATTGTCTAAAAATTATTTTATTGAGAATTGAAATTAATTGTGTTTGATTGATATAATTTTTCACTGAAAAATATTGAAAGTTTGATGTTCGTTTGGTTTTGTTTTTCATGAAAATTGTCCATAAAAGTGATAATTTTTTCTACCATTGGATTTAGAATTTTTTCCAATTGTAAATAAAAAAATTTACTATACTGAATATCATTCGTTCGACTTTGTTTTATATAGAAATTGTCGATAAAAATGATAATTTTTTTACCATTGTATCTAGAATGTTTTTCAATTGCAAACAAAAAAATAAACCTGAAAAATGGATTCCCACCAAAACTTGAAGAAAGCGTTTTCCTGTAAAAGCCGGAAATGAGGCACGTGAGAGAGTCAGAGGGAAAACTAATTCCTGGTCAAATTGGTGCTGTCAAACACTACAATTTGTGGAAAGTGGAAAAACTTTTCCAATTCCCAAGGAAAATTGCTTGTATCAAACATGGCCTTATTTTTTGTTAGGGTGCGTTTGATTGCAAGGGTGGAAAATGAGTGGAAAAAAAATGTTTTACAGGGAATTGAATTGCTTAGAATTTGTTTTACTGGGAATTGTAATTAATTGTGTTTGATTGGTATAATTTTCCACTTTTTCCATTTAGCTTTGTTTTTCATGAAAATTGTCAATTAAAGAAATAAATTTTATTAGAATTGAGAATAGAATTTGTTTGGATTGCCAAAAAGTAAAAAAAAAAAGATGGAAAACATATTCCCACCAAATTCACGAGAAAACAAAATCCTCAAAAAGCTAGTAAAGTGGCGCGTGAAGGAGGCTACTGGAAAACAAATTGCTGTCAAAAGTTTGGCTATCAAACAGCCATAAAGTTGGAAAATTGAATCTATTTTCCAACTTCCATAGAAAACTATGCACATCAAACACAACCTTAGATACAAATATTGGTCCAATGGGAGCAAGAATTCTCAAAAACATTAAGAGTTCGTTTGATAGGCAAATATGGAAATGAATTACAATTTCATTTTAGTTGGAAACTAAAAACTCACCAAACTCATAGGAATTCGTTTTCCGTGAAAAAAAATGCACTTTAAAGTGGTTGTACCTTAAAATTCGATGAAATAGAATAAAATGAATAGTCCACTATGCACTCAAAGCTACAAAGGTGAAAAGAAATAGAAAAAAATGAATAGTCCACTATGCACTCAAACTTACACGACACGTGGAAATATATATACTGCAGCAAATTTGTTTCTGTACACCATAAGACGACCAAGTGCTATTTTAAGAAGGTATTTGCACCCCCCCACCCCCCACCCCCCAAAAAAAAAACTATGGTTTATTTCTTTCCTCGTGTCGACTTTTTGATCTAAGAGGTACTTGTTTGTGGTTATGCTAATTTCTATTTTGGGTCTCTTAAAATTAAGCTAATAGTTTTAATCCCCAACCTAAAAATTGCAAAATAAAGAAAACCCTATTGCATCCCGAAAACTTTTGAATTACTCCCTATTATCTAGCCTCCCAAATAAAGTGAATTTCCAGTATAGGAGCCACTAGTGTCATGTTTGAATCCTGAAAGAGTTCAAATAGAGGATAAGTAGTTGGCAGCAGTAAACCCAATCTCCTCCACCAGCCCAAAAAACAATGTCCATGTCTTTTAAGATCTAATGCTTGATAGAATACCTTGACAAAGGTGAACAAAAAAGAGAATTTAAGAAATTAAATGTAATGATTCTATATCAATGAGTAAAAACCACGTTAACATGCTTCATGCATTGTAAAAAGAATAAAGTTACTAAAGAAAGAAACTGCACAAAAAAATACAAACAAAAAAGTTACACTCAACACAGTTATATACAATCTTATCAATCTAGCAACAAAGGACGTGAAAGAGCAGAAATTTGAAGAAAAACCCCTAAATACACAGTTTTTATCTTGATGTTCTAAACACAAAGTTTTAAGTGGTAAAATTAGAAATTTCAACCTAAGAAGTCTGAGTCTCAGTTATGTTTCATTCACTTAGAATGAAACACCGACTATAGGGACCATGTTACCAAGCGATTTTATCATGCATATGTTGCATTATTTTATGATTTTATAGATACTGTATGAAGAGTATCCAGAAAACTCAGTTCGATCTTGTACTACCCACAACTCTCATAGTGCATGCAATCCTACGGATTTTTATGTGGATGCCCTTTTCTTTTAAAAAGTATATGTGGATACACAAAAAGTGATATGCAGAGGATTCTAAAAAGAGAATGAAATTTATTTTGAAGGACTTGAGAACAATAATAAATCTCATAAAGAGGTTTAGACCTGAGTTGGATGCTGTCCAGGGCCATCTCCGGCATTAATAATGGGAATGCTGGCTGTTGCTGCTGCTCTTCTGGCAGCACCACTTTCAAAATGTCTCATCACAATTATATCGGAATACCCTTCTACTGTTCTTATAGTATCTGAAGATCAATATGAAATTAGAATATGAAGATTACTGTAAAGACTTTTAAGTAAGCCAACAGAATGAATGACTACCTTCAAGGGTCTCTCCTTTTGCTGCAGATGAAAACTCACGTGCATTTTCTGTGGTCAAAACTTCCCCACCTAAACGTTTCATGGCAGACTCAAATGAAAGCCTAGTTCTGGTTGACGGTTCATAAAAAAGTGTGGCCATTAAATACCCCTTCAGCATTTGGCTTCCAGTTGAGTTTTTCTCAATCTTCTCCATCTCAAGTGCCACTTCAAATATAGCACCAAGAGCATCTCTATCAAATTGTTGTGCCTCAATAACATCTTCAAGTTGAAACTTATTCCCCACTGAATATGAAGATCTAATGCCAACCTCCAGTGCTCTGCATTGGGCTCTGCTCTTGAGTGATAAACTTCCCCATGCCATGTCAACCCCTTTCCCATTAGGTGATGTCATATCATGAGATGTATATGAGGATATAGAAGAATTTTTTAGGTTAAAGAAGCTGTTCAAACGATTGTAAATAAACTTGCTAAAATACTTTGTTGTCTTGGGGGCAAGCGTACTGCCATTGAAGGTCCATGAAGAAAATGTGGATGATGAAACCATTGCAACAAATATAACAGCCTGATGGAGGGAAGATATTTTGTTTAGTAAGAACAGTGCAATTGGAAGAGAGAGAGAGAGAGAGAGAGAGAGAGAGAGAGGGTCTCCATATAAATTGTAATAAAAACAAATGCACTTTTGCCCATTAAAGTTTTCCAACTTACGCAAAATATTTATTATTTAACCCTGATTATAAAATCTGCTACAAAATCTGTCCATAAAAAGGGAACTACCTTTTGGTGTGTCCCAGCGTGCTATGTTCAATGATGGTTAACACGTCATGTTGTGACACAAAATGCTACTCTATAAGCAAGCTAGTTGTAAAACAAACTGTGAAAAACTTCTAAAAAAAGGGCCGCTTCACTGAATTGGAAAAGGCCACTCTGGCACAGGAGAGACCATAAAATGTTATGAAGCAACTGACTCTCTACTGATAGATAATAAAATTCAGAATATTTTATTTAAAGTTCATACTTTATCGTGAGAGTCGTATGAGTAGAAAATATTTTTGGTGGAAAGGGAAAGTTAAGTCTCAGAAATAGTAGGAAAACTATTTTTTTTTTGCTGCGCAACAGCTCCTATGAGCTCAATAAATATGGCCGCAGAATAGAAAAATAGTAAAATACACATCAGAAAGTCAAATGGACAAAATCATTATTGATTAAAAAACTAGACTCATGTAACCAACCTCAAATTTATCGGGAAAGAGGCTTAGTTTATTGTTGTAGCTACTTCAACACCGGCCCATTTAGGCATAAAGTAATGCAGATCATACTTCGACCAATGAAAGCTCTAATCTTTTACCAAAGCAATTTTAAAGTACTTTCATTTTTCTTTCTAATCTACTAAACCTCTGAAATTTTAAGAACATTCCCATTCTATAGATAGCATTTCAAAACAGCATATATAATAAATATATAAATATATGTCATGTATTGCCTGTGTCCAGGCACCACAAAGAAATGGCCTGGAACAAATGAAATAAAGAATTATAAATTGCTAAAAGGAGTAGAATAGCTTTCAATAAAGGGATTTAATAGCTATCAAATATGACATTTGAAATTAATGTAATTAGGTCTGATTCAGTATATAGTTCATGACAGAATTCTTTCAGGACTTTTATCAAACATGTGAAGCAAAAAAAAAATAAAAAATCGACAAACATATCCACACATGACGGATATATTTATCTACACATTTGCAGGTGTGTGTAATGTAAGTACGAACCTCACCTTGATTCGATGAGAAGATCTCTTTTTCTCTCCAAGTTTCAGCAGGGTTTTAAGAAAGAGTTGGGTCTGTAAGCAGTCTTCTATCTTCGTTCCGATTTTGTTATTGGCGCTCCATTAAAATACTTCTTGCACTGCAACTTCGTATTTTCTTTGTCTGACGAGGATAGTCGTCCGTCCTTTTGGGACAATTTTTTGGAGAAAACAACAATTTATTCATTTTGCCTTTCTTTTTTGTTATATGTTAATTTAAAATGGGAAATTTAGGCTTCAACCTTTCCATATTAGATCAAAACACCATTGAGTAAAACTTCATTAGATGGTAATTCACTAATATGAAATTCAAAATTGACCATTTGATAAAATATGAAATTAGTATAAATACTTTAGTCATTACAGATAATATTAGAGATATCGCTTCATGTTTCAAAAATATCATTAACCTGTCATGTTTATGGATTTTGAGTATCACATACACCATACAACTATTTTGAGTCATATATCGTCTAAAAAGAGGCTTATAAGCTTAAAACGTCATTGTGAAGAAAAAAGATGAATTTTTTTTTATGATTAATTGCAATTTAATTTTTTCGAAGTAAATTATAGGAAAATAACTTGATAAGTTATATATAGAGCTCGTTCAACATAATTTAAATTTATTTATTTTGTTTTGAAATACTTGAATGATTAATATATCTCATTAACCTATTATTATATTATATATCGGTTATTATTTAATAATAAAATTCGAAGTGTTTCAATGAACTACTTATACTATTATTTAACTAAATTTAATTATCATATCAAGTTTATAAATATATAAACATGAATTTTAATTGATAAGTTTTTTTATTTAAATTATACATAGATTAAAAACTTTTAAATCATTTATTACCAATTTTTTTCTAATAAATACTTACTCATTTGTTCTATTATGTACTGTAGAAACATACTTGAAATGGGAGTAAACCTATTGTCTCTAGGCCAAAGCCATTTGTACCCGGGCGTTTACGTACACGACCCCATCGGCCCCCTCACAATGAGAGGGGCCCAAGGTGAATAAAATAATGGGACGGGGCCCTTCCATTGTGTGTGGAGGGCGTGGGGCCCGTGTACGAATAGCATGGTTCTTGTCTCTATTTAGAAATGGCTCAACGGCGCCGCCTTCATAAGATGCCCTTAAGCTCAAACGAAGCAGATTTAAGGAGAATTTTCAGGCCTCAATCTGAATGATATGGGGTGAATTGCACTTTCCCATTAGTTATAGCTTTTGGACAAAGTGATTGCTTCTCCCTACATCATTAGTCGATATCGGGAGCTTGAGGTCCCACATTCGAGCTATTTGGGAAAAGCCCAATGGCGCCTTCATAAAGTGTCCTTTGAAGTGAGGTCCAAATGGAATGTGCTTATGGTGAACTCTCGAGTCTAATTCTGGATGATAAGGATTCACTTGCACCTCCCCATCAACTAAACGAAGTAGTTAACATTTCCCTGCATCATTATCATTTTGCAATGTTGATAATCTAACTCATCAAACTTAGGGTCAAGAACCTCTAATGCGTGTACAATGAACTGAATGGCATCGACTTCAGAGCAACTTTAAGTTGATCGATATTTCACACTTACGATAGATTCGATGAGTATGATCAAAGATGATGAAGGAATTTACCTTGTAATAAAGACTAGAACCTGTACAATTAAACACTTTGTAAGCTTAGCCAAACCGCTTTTTACTATCAAAACAAGTAATGTTTTTTCACTTGTAAATAAGTTAGAAACAAAAACTTGCTTAAAAGTGAGACTAGCAAAACATGCTCAAATCCCCCTTATTTTACTTGGGTATTAATACGTTCTCTAATTTTTGCCTAGTGCTTGTAACTATTTAACTATAAATTACATACACGAGTTGATAAAATTTAGCAAGCAACATTAATCCACTCATTGGTCAGTCACTGATCTCGTAACAGAAAATTTAGCAATCCTCTGTTCAGTCTGTATGTAAGTAACTTTGTGCCAAACTCGATCAAATCGGAAACAAGTGAAATATTAACTACGACAATTAACCGTATGTTTGGTAGGGTGAATTGTACAGAATTGGACATAGTTTAAAAGGAGAAGCAGCATATCAAACCCGACCCTAAGTTCCTAAAATTTGAGTGAAGCTAAAAGACGGCGTGCTGTGGTGATAGCTATGCACCTTGATAATAAAGTAACAAATTCTCGGTACTAGGAAAATGTGAAAGCACAAATGCTAAACACAAAAATCAGACAATAATCGCATAGGGAAGAAGTCTGAAGTTATATCAACAAGCATATGGAAGCTCAGTTATATCAACAAGTTATATAATATAGAGTTTGATTAGCATGCAACATTCAAGGTTGTGAAACGTACGAAATTCTACCTTTTCTCCGACTTTTCACTTCACTTATTTTTCTATTGTATCCACCCTACACAGGGAGAATTCTATACTTCAAATAAATAAATAAAATACATGGAGAATTTCACGCCTGCATCATCATTGGAGAATGCATACCATGGGAATACATTTCAGCCAACATCCAACTTAACAACACTCATATAGTCATAGTTATATATACCAGTATTATATCCTCTAAATTGAACAAACTGGGATTCTAACAGGAAAATAAAATAGAAAGCAAATGTGCTTTGAAGAGAAATTCAGCAACTATATTTAACATTAACGGAACGAAATACCATTATTTAACTTGGTGGGCAGATCCTAAAACATAAAACTCAGATAACTGTCCAGAGTTTGAAGCAGACATATTTTTTTTACACAGACACTACAAATATTAGCTGCAACATTCAAGGTACATCTTCAGATAGTGCACACCATAGAAATCCATTCAGCCAACATCCAACTTAACACCACAAAGATATACCAGTATGATATCCCCTGTATTAAAAAAAATGGCAAGGCAACTGGAATTCTAACTGGAAAATGAAATAGAAAAACAAATGTGCATCGAGGAGCAACTCAGCAACTGTATTAACTGAATGAAACACTATTTGTTAACTTGGTGGGTGAATGCTAATACATTATAATAGAGTAATGTACCATTCAATTTGCACCTCTGAGAATTTATTTCTCCCGGTCCTGGGTTTCCTCTTCCTGCTGCTGTCCATAACGACGCTTAAATTTGGCAATCTGTCCAATACTTTGAGCCATCTGCCGCTTTGCCCTGAAATGATAGACTTTACCAACTTGGTGTATTTTGGTCATCATAACGGGCATCAATCGACCACTCTGGGTCACATAGGATATCCATTGCATCTGAGGGTGGATTCCTTTCTTCATCTTTCCTTCAAAAAATTCACAAGCACCCATAATATTTCATAACCGAAGCACAAATGGAGCTTGAACGGGACAAATTTTAAAGAATTCCACTCTCGTGAGATAGCAATTAATTAGCAGTATCAAAGTTTGATCAAGAAAACGCATTGGTTGTCGTATATGAAAATTGAAATTGCTGTAATTGGGCAGATTAATTTTTTTTCACGAAAATAACATCTCTGGAGCATTTTATCAAACATGTTACAGTTACACAAAGGGATAAACTCAGCCCCTTTTTTCTTATTCACCACTCAAAGTCAACCAAAATCACACTGATAAACCTTTAATGTTAAAAAGCCCTCATAAAGCTTAAACCATTAGGACACTCAAAAAGTTAAAAACCATTAACCTTTGCTTCAGTCCATGAATCAACCTTTTGAGGTATTTTATTTTAATTCCATGTAATTGAAACATATAAATGAGCATCAGTATCTCCAAAACCAAGAAACCTAGAAAACCTAAACGCTAATAAGTTAATAGCTCGGGCATTTACTAAATAAATCCATTCACCAAGAAAATACTAGAAAAATACAAAGAAAAAAAATTCAAACTAAAGAATGCATCATTAATCAAATGATTCAGTTCAAACAATAAAAATTAGGTCCAAAGTCTAAAGAAAGTTCCATTTAGTTACAATGCAAAAGCAAACAACAAAATAGGATATAAACAACAGACACATTTCAATTACTTATATAAGTTGCATCGAAAATACAAAATCAAAAGACGATTTACCTCAGTCCGGAGAAAGAAATCGTCTATGGAGTTAATTTTTATTTTATTTTTTCTAATTGGCAAACTGAATTCTAATGTCTGTGTCGACTATGCACTCAGCTCGGCTGGTCTGCTGCAATTTGGAAGAAAGGGGAAAAGATCAGAGAGTAGACTGATGGGGGTGAATCTGGGGTTTGAGCATTTTCTTTGGGTTAATTTTGGGTTTTGGCCTTTTGGGCCATTTTAATTGGGCCTAAGTGTTGAGTTTATGGGTTTTTAAATGAGAAAATTACCTCAAATCCTTCTTTTCAACATTACATTTCAAAATTACATTTCAAAAACAAGGTGATAAAATTTACATTTCAAAATTCAGGTAGTAATTATATTTTATAATTATACTTATTAAAAATTTAAACCTTAATTTATCATTTTCTTCCCAACCCTCTCTCTCGTCTCTCTAAATCTCTCCTCTCTCCTCTCTCTCTCTCTCTCTCTCTCTCAGTCATACCCACCCAAGCTCATATCTCCCCTCAATGCCGATCTGTAGCCATACCCACCCAACCCCAAACATTAATAGTCCCCCCCAATCCCGGTGCTGCAAACACCACGTCATCGCCACCACAATCCCGGTGCTGCAACGAAGAAGTCGAGATGTCGTCGCCACCACGAAAGCAGCACCACGATGCTGCAGTAATGGAAGGAGACCGAAGTCTCTTCGCGCGGAGTCGACGGCAGCTGTGCTTTGCGGCGATCTGGAAGCTGTCGTCGAAGACACCAGAAGCCATCACTGTGAGCGCCGTCGATGAAGCCTTGCATCCCACCTTTTCTCCTTCACTCCGCTGTTCGATGAGAGGCGTTGCGAGATCTGGTGCACGACCTGATGTACTGTGATGGCTTATTTGGTGGCGCCGAAGTTTTTGGGTTGGTTTTTGTTGGTTGTTTAACTGCGGCTGTTGTGGTGTTGTTTTGATGGCGTTCATGAAGTTTTTATTTAATTTTTGAAATTAAACAAGCTCGTCGACGCCGGTAGTTCGTTGTGACTGCTTGTGACCGATTGTGCCCTTTTGTAACCGATTGTGACTGGTAAATTGTGACTCGTTGTGATCGATTGTGCTCTTTTGTGACTGAATTGTGACTTGTGAATTGTGACTCGTGGATGCATCACACGGGCCAACACTAGTATATCCTTACAATATATAAAAGAGGAGAATGAGTTTTACTGTTTCTAAGCCAAATAGCCAAGTAAGCCGACCCGTTTCGAGTCAGCCGGTTAGCCGAGCCGTTTGGGTTTTTTTGCATTTTTTTTTTCGCCCTTTTTCAGTCGAATTCCTTCTCTTGTCTGACTTTCTCCCTTTTCTTTCCCTTTCCCCATTTTCCCACGCAACCACCATTCCTCATTACTCCACTCCCCCACGCGACCGCCATTCCTCCTGCAACCACCATTCCTCCTTCTTCTTTCCTTCATTCTCTCTCAATCGGTTTCTCTAGATCCTTCTTTCTCCCTTCTCCCTTTCTCGCGATTTCGCTCTTGGGGCCAAAGTAAGAAACCCTCGAAATCGTCTTCTCACATTCTTCACTCTTCCACAGAAATTATTGCAGATTCGCGCTTCGATTTTTGCTTAATGTTTATTTTTTTGGTTCGATTTTCGCTGTTAATGCAATTAATTTGAAAGTATCATAGCCAGCTTGATGAAGTATATTGCTTTTGCCTTTGTATTTCGAGAAGTTCAAAAACCTGCTCTCACAGTTGATGGTGGACATCTAAAGAGGAAAGTAGGTAAAATCTATTGGTTCAGAAAGACCAACGATGCGAACTGAGTGGGCTACAATTTGCAGCATATACACGATCTGAATGTGGTTGAGATGATATTGCTAAGATAGGTTTTTTGTTAACATAGAAGAGATGGTGAGAAATTAGGATTTTCATGAATACGTATAGGTAAAACTTATTGAAGATAAATTTTTACAGAATATATTAAGATGGTAAGGAAGAATCTGGCCTAAAATAGCATTAAATTATGCAACTGAAAAAGATGTAGCTTATGAGGTTTTACCATGGAAATGACCCGTGAGAGAGTGGACAAGAATAAATGGATCCATTTACCCAAATGTGGAGAAGTATCAAATAAGGCTTTGTGAGTTGAGTGAAGTAGAAAAGTAGGTAAGTGTCAAGTTAATTTGCTGACTATCAAAATCAAAAATCATTTTTGTGATATTATCTTGTGAGTTTATTGTTTACTTTAAACAGATCTGTGCCGGTATTGCTGAAACATGATTAAGTAATAGGGAGATCCTATGTTGGTAGCATATTTTTTTTCCAGTTTCTCTGCTTGATATCAGCTGGTATTGGAATCTTTAAAGAAGCATGATGCTGTCTCTTGTCACTGAGATTACACATATGGCTCTTTATGTATGTAGGAGGCATGCCTGAGATTAATTCTACATTATCAGTTGAAAGCTGGTTGGGTTATATTTCCAGTCACTCTAATGTTTATCTATCGAATGTTAATGGATGAGATTGAATTTAGTTTTGTTTATTGATAAAATTGAGATAAAATAAAGTCTCTTTTAGGAGACTGAATGAGTAAATAATAATTAGCTAACAATTGAAAGAAAATAACGTCATTCTGGAGAAACAATCTGCATAATTGGTTGTATTAGTATTCCATGGCTTTATTTTATGAATGATATTCTCTTCTTTGTTGATGTGTATTACTACTTCAAATGAGGAACTGATGTTCAAAGATTAATATTACTAAGCATCTGTACAACATTTGGAATACATGCTTAAGTTCTGCGCATGAATAGACATAGATCGATGACTCATGGACCTAGATCTCTATTTCAAATTCTAGCCACATTTTTCAATTGTTCCATCAACCTTGTAGTTTACAGTGAACAACCATTTATAAACAAATGGATTCTTCCTCTTGTTAAACTCAAAAGTTTGTATGTTCCATTGTTCTCTAAACCAGTGCAGCTATTAAAGTTTTAATTAAACCATTCGAAAAATACTATGGCGCATAATAGATGCACGAAAAATGTAGTTTGCAAAGAAATTCTTGCTTCCCTACAATCTTTATAGCTATTTTTTTGGATGGTGTTGGCTGTGAATATAGTATTGTTTTATATGATGTGCCTAACAATGATGAGTATGATATAGAAAATTCTTTTGGAACTTTGATTATTGAAGTTTGGGATCATCGACTAACTGCAAGCATGTTTTGATTGAATTGGCAATTTTGAAATTATGGGCTTCATTTAACCCTACTAAACTGCTTGGTGAAGTAGAATTTCTTGTTGCTTCACATACACTCTGGTCTCTCTATACAATATACATACACATACCTCGGTTGAGAGCCACATAGCTTCTGTACCAATTCACTAAGCATTTTGCAATACCAAGAAACTGACTCTTTTCTGTTTGCCTTTTTCAAATCCCAGAATGTGATCCCATTTTACTTCTTAATTTGATGTGGGATTCGTTTTTTCTCCTTGTTTATTTTGGAATGGAGGCCTATTGTGATCTTGAAGTTGATGTCAACGGAGAAGAGGTTTTCATGGTGGACAAGGTGAGGATTCTATTTTCAGTTTCAATCAAAATTCTACTCTTTTTTCATCAATAAATTATACATTATTTAGATTTTACTATTAATGAAATTGCAGAAATTAAGGCTTTTACTCAATTGTAAGATGGGTTATCTGAAAATTTCATTTTTGGGCACATTTGTTTGCAGCATGATTTGACATAATTTTCTTCTTGTTATGTGGGGCTTGATTTCTGGTGATTGTTCTCTGTCAAATCCACTTATTTTCGCCATTTAGACATGTTCATTTTGCTTCATGTTAGGAATATAGTAAACATGACAGAATACAAGGCCAGTGCCTAAATTTTCTACATGTCAAAAGTGTACTTGTTACATTGACTTGATGTCATTATGATAAGAAACTAGAATAGCTTAAGATAGGAAATTGAACAAATATCGAATTTTATTACATACAAGTTTTGAGATGCTTATATTAGCTTTATCTGATCTCACACGGAGGAATGTAGTCTTGGATGAGTTTGGAGCTCCAAAGGTGGTTAATGATGGAGATAGCTTGTGGAAATGTGGTGTTGTGCAGAAACTTGTTGCTAGGGGCCTTGAGTCTTCGGACCTTAATTTGTCTTGAGACGACGATACTTTTTTTGAGGTAAGCATATTTTTTTTGTTTTGTTCAGTTTCATAATTTGATAGCTTGGAATGACTAGCATGCTTTTTCCTTGTTATTTAGTGTTTATTATTTTTCCTCCCACATGATAAGCAAAAACAAAGAGAGTACTGTTTTTCATTCTATATATGCTCGGAAAGTTAGCTTGCCATGGATATAAATGAAGCTGGTTTTGCAAGGCAGAGCTTATCTTGAAGAGTGGGACTAATAGAGGCAAGGAAATAAACAAATCAATGGCTGGTGGAGATAAAGGTATACCCTCTTATCTAATTTTGTATGCGGGCTTTGATTGAGCAGCATGAGATGATCCATACTGTAAAGTTATTGAAAATGTTCCTTGGCTATAGAAGGAAAAATAGTTTTGAGTTATTTAGAGAGCTTGATGGCATGACTTCTATTGCTATTGAAATTGTTGTAGTATTTAAAGAGTGAGATATTGTATTTACTACTAAAGGCTCATTTCAACTTTAAAATTGCAGAAAGTTTCTAACAAAGTTGACGCTACGTGGAAGGCAGTGATTGGAGCATTGGAACTTTTCCTTCTTGGTGTTTTTTTACAGGGTAATACCACCTTCAATATTATCAATTTACAGAGATATGTGATGCAAGAATTTGGCACATCTGAGTCTTAATAATGGAAATTTGATTGTGAACAGTTTGATCGTTACTTCTGTTGTTTACTTTCATCCATTTGGGCTTATGTATCAAATTTAATCATATCTCATAATGAATGATGAATGTTTGAATTATCTGGAAATAGATCAATCTATTAGTTCCAAATTGAGCAAAAATTAATCTTTTCTCTACAATATTAAAAGAGAGAACTTTCTTGCCACTATTCATATGTTAGTGAATTTCACACTCAATAAGTACATTTTGGTATTTGCATATAGAACTTAGGGTAGGTTCGGCATTGTTTAACTTTTTTGTTTAAGCTGGTCGGTCATACTGTTTATCCATACATTTCATGGGACATGTAACTTACTATCCACTTATGCATGTAAAATGTATAAATAATAAGTTAATTATTTTATTTTCTATGGTTTGGGACAAAGTACTCATTGAATGCTTTTACATGAATTTTTTAATTTTTTTTCTATATTGCAAGGAATTGAAATGCTGTCACTCGGCTCATCTGAGACTGGTGCCATGCTCTTGGTAAGAAAGGAATTTTGAGCTAGGCACTCACTCAATAGCACATATCTCACAATCTTTGGCTTTTTTTGTTTTTCCCTGTATATTTCTTCTTATTAGTTTGGCCATATTATATTTCCTAATTCATGACTCCCATTAGTTCATATAATCACAACATACATGTGAAGACCTTGTAAATCAATATCTGCATCTTCTTCTTGAAGTTGTTGAAGCAAAGCTCATTTGAGAGGTTGAAATCTCACTTTCGGTTGACTTTTTCACTTACAAGGAACTCCCCTTTAAGAAATAAAAAGAAATATTTTTTTTTTTACAGAACAGCTTGTATACAGATGAATGATAGAACCTGTTTTTGAATCCTGGTGATCTAGAATGTTTGCAGTTAGTGGTTGCGCAATCTCAAAAATATTGTTCAAGAAATGAACGCAAATATCGCTTGAAAATGTGATTACAGATTTTTAGAGAATCAGTCCTGTGGAAATGAATTTATTTTTAGAGAATCGTTCCTGTGAGCTTCATTACTTCAAATTATATACTTTTTTTTTACCCAATTTATGCCCAAGCTTAACTATTGATATATTTAATAGTAAATATATAAATGATCACACTTTATTTACCCAGAGGAATTTACATTTTGTCACTTTTAAACCCGAAAGAATCTCTTTTCCCTGCAACATTACAGACATTTTGATTGTGTATTGTAAAAGACTAAAAGTAAATATATAAATGATGACAATGCACTTTATTTACTGCTAAAAAATGGCTCAAAAATTCCTGCAATTGCCAGCTGAAACTGTGATGAAGGATTGTATAACGGCAAAGTATTCATTGTTCCTTATAATCTATTACATTTGCTAATATTTCCTACTTAAACATATTGATAGTATCTTCATTAATTTTCATTCAGTAAGAACAATGTCCTCAATGCTCGTGATTTGAATAGTGTAAATGAAGACCATTTCATTTATATAAAATATGGTCTTAAATGTGAAATACGTAACATATGAAATGAATCCTTCATACTTAAATATCTACCTCTTAGAATATATGAATTTTTGGTTGTGACATCTTAGCTATATATAATCAATATTCTTCTTTTAGACCACCAAATTTTGGGAGATGTTTAGATATTTTGTAATATCTTGATTCTTCGGTCGCTTGAGGCCTAGAAGGGTGTTCCCTATATTACTTATGCATTATTCAAATTGAATGAAATACATTCACCCAAAACTGGTGATTATGGTTATTACTTATGCATTATTCAAATTGAATGTGAAGCATTGCAGTTATTTTCTCATGTGATAAACGCATGATGGATGCTCTTTTGGTTTCATTGTGCTTGTATTTATCTATGAAGAATCGAAGAGGGCTTTGGAAACTTGTTGGGTGTTCTCCGGCCTGTTCATATTTCCACTCTGCCTGGGTACTATAAAGTTTAAAATTTGTCTTCCCTTAGTGATACGTTTTGATTTCCACTCTGCCTGGGTACTAATTGATGATTTCTTCATTATTTTTACACTACAGGTTAGTGTCAAAGTTGAATATCCCCAGGATTATTCAGATGTATCAAATGAGGACCAAACAGATTTTAAGCAGACTAGGTATGATATGGCTTGAAATGTCATTAGATAATGTGTTGGTCTACTACGTGTTTCACAATTTCAGATTGTCATTCGAATTATGAACACTTGATTTCAGATAATGTGTTGGTCTACTACGTGTACGTGTCATTCGAACACTTGATTATGACATACCTATTTCAGATTTGTATATGGTAATGCTTGCACTTTCGTTTTTCGAGTGGTTACTTGAGTTAAACTTTCAAGCCCTCGTGTCTCTGTGTAACCAGCATACTAGATGAGTAGTTCCTTCTATTAATTATATATGTGATTGCTGATTGCAACATGGTTTCTGGGCTAGGTGTACTAAATTAATGCTGAGATTTTGTCAAATTTTTCCTCTTTATCTGATTGATTAGATCAGCCTTGTTTGTAACCCAGGTGGCAGGATTGTTTGAAACAAGTTTTAAATGTTAATATTATAGTATGTTCTCACATACAACAAAGTATGTAATTAAATTGTAATGCATATACTTTTCATTTTTTTCATTCTTTAGTTATTTGCATTTTATATGGTGTAATTTAAAGGTGTCTAACTTGAAACAATTTCATGTTATTTTTGCTATTGTTCAATTCTGGAATTAGAAAAAATTATAACGATTATCGTGCAACGCACGATCTACACTAGTAGTGAGAAAAGAGGAGAAACTGGCTCATAAAGAAGAGAAGGTGGCGAAGGTAACTCAACAAAACAATTTACAGTTGGAGTCCTTATTCTTTACAACATATGACACTTGAGTCAATGTTTTAAACCTTTAATCCCAACTATTGTAAAACCAATTGAGATTCCTCTTTCGTATATAGTAATAGTGAGTAATAAAAGTGTTTACTATTTTAAATAGAAATTAATCCATGGCATGAATCAAATCAATCGTCAATTCAATTCGATATTGAGTTTACATATAAAAAAATTGAATCCATATTAAATATGAGTTCAAAAGCAAGAATCAAGATAAGATAGACTATAACCATTCAGTTATTGATTTTAAAAAAATATAACTGATGAAATTCCATCTGAAATCGAACCAAGCTAATTAGTTCGCTCCAATTCTAATTCGATTAAGGGTGTTTCAAATAAAAATATCCATCTTTAAAAATTAAGTACACAAGTCCTCAATTTATTATCAACTTCTTTTTTAAAAAAAATAAAATTATTTAATACTCTCTAATTCGTCTTACCAAAATTCCAACAATGCATCAAAGATGTATATTATTCAAACAGAAACAAATACATAGCGTAGAGAATTAGTTATGTACTCAAGCTATCATGAATCTATGATACATAAGTATATGGTGCAAGAAAAAATCGAGCAAAAGTGGACATCTTCAACAGTGACTACTAACTCTTTACACAAAGCTTTCACAAGATCTACAATACCCAGTCAGCCACCCCGGCAACAAAATTTCGCAGTTCAATCTGGCACGACATAAATTGATTCAGAAGCTCCAATTGCATCATAGGAACTTGAATAACCCATCTTTAACAAATGCTAATCCCATCAGCACGGGTGTGTTGGAAAACTGGGACTGTATTCCAAACTTATATCCATAATCTACAATGAAATTTGTTACTCTTACTCATCTTCCGCAATAATATTTGGTAATTCACCTTGGCAAAGGTACTCGTCGCATAATGATGCCGATCCCCAGTCCTTTCGCAGTCGCAAAATATCCTCTGTGAAAGTGGATCCTCTGGATCCGATGAACACAGAAGACAATGCACAAATAGTCTTATCCAGCATAGCTTCCACCTTCATCAAGAAAACAAGAAACACCAGTTGAAGGTGAAATTTTCAAAGAAAAAAAAACAGAAAATGATATTGTCACAATCCAACTTAAATGCAATTTACGTAACACGATCTCAAATTAACTTTTAAGAGGAGACCTTTAACAATTTAAGAGCAAGGTAATTAGCACCAACTTTTAAAAAGATGTCCAATTTTATTATTTATCCTTGTGTGGATCCGAAAACTAGTATATAATCTACCAAATTGACCGCAGGTAGAAAATAAAGGTTTCAAGCCTCTCATAGAAGTCCTGGAAACCATCATAAGAAGATAAAAGGTAAGTTCACTATGTCTCAGGAGAATTACATGTCACATAGCTGAGTTAATTGATAACTCACGGTAAAAGTTCTACCTTTGGCGTAAATAAAAGTAAAAACAATTAAGTGACAATTTATGCAAAATAACTAGCAGTCAAGATCAATTAATCAAAAATAAATTCTGAATTCACCTGAGAATCTCCCTCAAGTCCATGTCTGTATAACAAAGCATCCCATTTCTCAGCAGAATTACGAGCTGGCCTCTTAATAAGTGGCACAGTTTTCCCATTCAAGACAAGAAGTGACTGCAGTAAACCAGTTTCACTTTCTGCAGCATCTGTAGATAGATATATCACAGGTGTATTGGCCCTCTCAACAACTCTACTAATGCAATCCGCAGCTTGAGGAACAGGGTAAAAGCAACTTGGCTTTTTTGCATTACTGCAAAAAATTTAGCAAGTACTGTCAGATTCTGCGAGCATATCCTACCAAACATTGGAGCAAAAACAATAAATGGGGAAGAAAAACTTGCCAGAACTTCAGAAATCCATGACGACGAAAGTGAAGAGCAATAAAATCTTTTCCCATGAATGTCTGAATAAAACGCTGTGCAGTGAGCATAATAAGCTTACTCGGCTCAATTAAAGTCTTACAACTGTGGGCTATAGGCCCTCCAGGCTGCATCACCCACTGTCCCTCAACATCAGCAAAGAATACATCTCCAATGGCAATAACATTATCATCTGAAGAAAATTTTGCCAAAACATCCTGAACCGTTCTTTGCTTTGGCTTCTTAACATCCTCTTTCCAAACCGTCTCAATCTTACTCAACGAAAATCCCAGCCCTTTCAACTTTTTCAAGCGCTCATCGTCCACATAACAAGGCAGTGGCAGCGAGAAATAACACAAGAACTTATCGATATGCAAATGTTTCTTCTTCCTCTCCACAAACTCCTCAAATGTCACCACTACTTTCCTCCCTAGACACTTATTAATATGCTCAATATCCAACACCCGTTTGAACTCGTAATCAACTTTTGCACTTGGGATCACCAAAACACGATTGAGCAAAGCTGCAAAGAACATATGCTTCTCCAAACAAATCAAATGGTTCGACATTTGCCCTGAAACACAAATAGCTAACAAGTACTTATTCAAATTCGGGTTCCATTCAATAGTCCTCCTCTCAGACAACCTCGGATCCACCTTACTACACCTAGTCCAACCCGCAACACTTGGATCCGTATAATTCTCTTTCAAACCCAAGAAATCCCCATTTTCATGGGCTGACAACAAAACTTCCTGAATTTTCTTGTTCAACGAAATCTGGCTAAAAAACCCGGATTTCAAATCCTCCAACAATGACAATGCCGGTACTCCATGTTTAGCATTATTATTAACAGAACTAAAATTCACCGACCTACTGTTATTTACAGCAGTCAAATATGATTTACTCACCAATGTGCTGTAATTCCATAGCTTAAGTAGCTCAGATTGCTGCTGCTTAAGTAAATAGAGTGCGCGCAATTCAGACTCTCGCATGCGATTAACAATCAGCGGATTACTACTTCCATGATTGTTTACAATTGGAATGTGGGTTTGAAAAAGGTTCTTCGTATCGATGGTGAAATAGAGGATTAAAATAAAAAGCGGCAAGAATATAGCGAAAAGGTAAAGGTACCTCTTGTCGAATCGTCGGGCCGAATTGGATAATCGTGTCCTGAATTCCCCAATTTCGAAAGTAGAACGCTGAGGGGATTTAACGGAATCGTTTTGGGAGATTAGGTTTTCGCGATCGTCTTCTTCATCCGTGGAAGATTCTCGATCCATCATTTTTTTCCTACTTCTTCAGAGCGGTGATTAAACAGTAAATAATTAAATTGGTACTGTAGATAAATGGGGGAAAATTATTCTCAGATAGAAATATACACACAAACACACTTGAGTTTGTTCTTATAATCAGCTCGAAAGAGTAAAGAGGAAGGAATTCGTTGGTTGAAGAGAGTGATTCACTACTGACCGGCCCAGGGAGGTCTTTCGGGTCGGGTTAGAAGGTCGGCTGACACTGGTATGAGATAGGCTCATTGTTGGGCTAGGGGTCCATTACAATGGACCTACATATGGTTTGTGGCCAGGCCCAAATTATATTCTTATTAAAGAGCTTGTTTGAATCCTATTTTTAGCAAAAAATACATTTTAGAATAATAATTTGATGGAGAATGTGTGGTTAAAAAATATGAAAAAAATTTAAATTTACATATAATATTATTTTATTGAAAAAATGTACTGGGAAACAAGGGCTAAAAATAACTTTTTAACACACAAAAATTACAAGAAAAAGATTTATTTTGTCCTCTTTTTGAGTAACTACACTAGAATTGTGAAAAAGCAAAAGAAAAGAAAAAGTTGGCCACGTGGGTGCTCTAGTGATGCGATGACACTGCTCACTTCACCAGTAACAAGTGCATTTCAATTGTGTTAGGACACATATCGATACATGATTAGACAACTTAAAAAAATAAAAACACAACACCCAATTATTATTTGTCGTGTCACCCTGAACCTGTCCAATGAGCATTATTCCATTTGCTAAGCTGAATGAAGGGAAAATTAATAACCGGTATTGCCATCGCCAGCAGGATTGTTAAAGCATCCAACTACGCGATGGGGGATGGTTCTACGTTGCCCATTCCTGCCACCGTTGACACACTTAAGAACATTTTCGAGTATTGAAAATAAATTAATGAATTATCTATGATGTAATTAACTGTCCATTATGCAGGAGGAGGAAGTGGAAATGGAGATTGAGATTGAGAGAGCTAAACAAGACAAGGAAAAGAAAAGGAAGGAGAATGAGAACATTGTGGACTCCCAACTCAAGAATAGAAAAAAATCTTGTCTGAATTCTCCTAATTACTAGTGTAACATCAATAATTTACGTTGTTGTATGTTTTCTTATACATCAACGCATTACCTCGTCAGACACTAATGTATTCATGTGCTACTGGAAATCAATTAAGAGGATAGCGTATCTTTGCTCGATGTATCGTTTGTAGATTGTCAATTTCAACACAACACAACATGAATATGAATGAAAAAAAACATAATCCTCTTGTAATTTGGACTCCCAAGAACTGGTATCAATTGCAAGCTATTCTCTACTGCAGATATGATTTTTAGGAGAGGCCGAAAAGAAAACTCAGTAAGGAGTATTTTTTGTATGAAAAGTAATCACGATTTAACCTATTATTTTTCTAAATAACCTCAACCGACCTCCCCCAGAGCCATTTCTTGGTTATTTTTTCTTCAGTTCTCTCATTTTAGTCCATTTGACAGTGGCTGTTGGGAATATTTTCACTAAGAGAGGAAATGGAGAAGAAACCAACAATTATGACCAGCAACAAAATGAACAAAATCATGATGAAACTTTAAATTTAACAATGAAAATAACTAAAAGAAGATGATAAACTTATTTTATATTTACGCATATTGTAGTCTCTCCTTTTGTAGACTTTGATCTTCCACGCAAAGACTTGAAAGTAATCAAGAACTTTAATGGCATGAAAGGCTCAAACAAGAAAAACGTTGTCCTCAAACGATATTTACCCCTCTCCGATACAAATTTGGTGCTTAAAGGTCTTCTGACAAATGGTTTGAAGGCTTAATCGAACCTTGTTGTAGAAATACCAAAGCACTAAGTATTTCTACCCAAACTTGAGAACACAAGGAGAGAAATATGAATATGGTGTTATTTCTGGAGTATCTCCTTTCGAACAATTTGACAGAATGACCTTAATAAATTTGCACAGCGTAACGGTATGACCAACAGAATCAGAAAATTAATTCGAGCCCACCGACTTCACGATATTTCCTTAAAACGAATTTGCTGCCTTCAAAAGGTGCTTAAGGCGTCCAGCAATCGTTTCCCAGGATAGAACAAATTTCGTCTCCTACGGAAGCAGCACAGCAATCTGCAGGAGTTCCAGCGAACTCAATGAAGTGTTTTTTATTTCGAAAATAATATCAGAACGAGATAGAGAGAGGGAGAATGAGATTCAATGCAGAGAATAATAGCAATGAAAATGGTGTGTTAATTTTGGCAACGGGCTTGGCTATTTATAGACTTGTTCGTGGCCATTCGAACATCCTTCTAGCCATTTCAGAACAGTCGCCACTGTTCAGATAAGCCCAGAACCGAACAGACAGCAAGGTTCGGTAATAAGTCGGTTAACAGTCCAAACGGTCGGTTAACAGACCACCCAAAATAATTACCCGAAAATAAGCCCATTAATAAAAATTAATTTTATTATGTACCCAAGAATTTGATTAATTACAATTTGATCCAAAATTAAATAAATTTTGTCCAAAAAGATAATATAGTACAAGGACGCACCCGCACCCGCAC